AATAAACAGCACTGTAACTACTTTTGAACTTTGAAAAAAAACTGTTTAACATTTTATGTGAAAAAAGCAGTTCTATGTGCTTTTTCTGAAGCTCAAACAATAGAGATCATGAGATTTCTGAATGAGAACTGAATGATGCAATGCAGTGTAAGTTTCTTTGGATAAAAGCATCTTCCAAATGAATAAAATATAAAGAGGGTAGATATTAGAGACTATATACTTATATACATACATATTCCAGTGCCAATAAGACAGTGCCAGTCTTATTCTTCCTGTAAATTCACTATTACAGGAAAAACAACTAGCTATTTCCAGACTTAGCAAGGAGAACACTTCTTTCCATCTCATCTAAAATTTGAGCCCACACTGATGACAGGCCTGACAAAGAATAAGACACTGTCAGCAGAATCCAAGGATGAATTCAAGCTTCCAGTCCTACATCAACAAATATGTCAGACGAGCTGGCAACTGTCTGTGACCCGTGGGGTCAAGTGGTTTGAGGGGTGAAGAAGGTGTCAATCATAATTACTAGCACATGCTTCTTTTATCTCACAAATGAACGGCATCAAAGAATTCAGAGCTTACACAATACCAGAATATCAAGTACAAACCACTGAACTAAGAACAAAATTATACCATTTCGCTATGGGAAAAGAAGCCCGAGGATGTATTTTGTGCTTATTGTATGTATTCATTTGACATTCGCGCTCAAAGATGTATGCCTATATAATCAGTTTGTTTGTTCCAATGAAACTGAAATATGTCTATACTAATACTCCTAATATACAAGTTAAACTCTTTACGGTTTAAGCCAAAAATCGGTTAGCATGCCGCTAACAGTTATTAGTTTGTTAACGTTAGACTATTTCCACAAACAAACACTCTCCTACCTCAAATTAATCCAAATATTGCGTTACAAATCATCAAATATAACTCTTTTTAATTTTTGTATAATATTTAATAGGCTTTGTTTTAGCCGGAATGAGCGTTTTAAACTTGCTCATAAATGTTAGGTTTGCCATACAACACAAAATGGCGACACATTTGGTGTGAGGGGGGATGAAGATCTGTCTGTTATCTACACCGACATAACAAAATCCGCTCAGCAACCACTTGCGCACTTTTATAAAACAGAAACGGGAATCCCTACCTTTTCTTTTCAGTGACAACTCCAGTATCCATTCCTGGGTAAAACCACTCACTATGTGTTAGGTTTTTCCAAACCGCGAGGCCAGAAAATCAAGGACGTGGCCACCTCTTGCTAACAAATAAAATGTTTCTAAAATAAAACAAGCAAACGCGATAAAATTATCAGCTTCGAGTCCGGTATGTTGTGTTGAAAGCGTCAGAACGGTAGAGATCAACCCTCCGGTTCGCCTGAAGGTCAAAACATTTGTCTGACACCCAATCGGTGCAGCTTCTGGTCGGTACAAAGAGTTAGCCGTGCCTCCTACTACTCTCTCTGTGTGGCTTGCGCGTTCACGAGGCGCTGGCAGGAGCGCGCACATACGACAGTGTCGCACCAAAATTTGCTCTTTCATCAATCCATCCAAGCAGTTCAATCGACCCCCACGGGCACGGTGTGATGTAATCACCACTATTGATTTGACCACAGATCGAGTAACTTAAAATTATTTGCTTATCCTGGCTACAGCCATTTTTTTTCTTTCATGTGTAGTATAAAGTCAATTTTATAAAAAAAATTTTTTGAGATTAATGATCAGGTAAATTAAGACTATTGTTTTCCAAATAATTATATCAGTAATCAGCAAAAATACCCTAATATTGCCTGGAAAGAACCACACACACATAGAACCCAGAACACACTTAACCAGTTAAAATAGCCTATAGTTAACTGGACCATAGACCTCCATTATATGACTGACAGACAAGAACGGTTTGACCTAAAAATATAAAAATTGAAAATGTGGAAACAAAGACACCTACATCGTTGATGCCCTTGACGTAAGCTAAAACATTTCAAACGTTAATTTCAAAGTGAACTATCCCTTTAAAAATGTAAGCCAGATTTTTTTGGTAACCATAACACTCCTTGACTGATATGACTGTACAGCACTGTAAAAGCTTTCAACTTTTAAAAGTATTTTAAATGGTCAGATAAGACTGGTCAAGCCAACAAAAACGTTCTTGACATTGCTTTATAGCCTATCTCTATTTTTGCAGACAGTGAAGGCATGCTACACACATTCACTCATTAAAATATAATTGAAATATTTAAATAAAACCTATGAACACTGACAATCCCCCCCCCCCCCCAGCCCCCCCGATGAACATCTATGTATGATAACATGACATATTAATCAGAGAGCTGGTGTGCATTGTTGTGGACACTAATATTACCAACTTACTGTTTTATTATTGCTCTTGGTGCAAGATTTCTAAGGAAGTCCTGATGTTGATGATAAAATGTTTTGCAGAAATTTCAGCAGTTTCCTCAAGTGTGTTAATGTTAGCCTATTTCTTACTGCTGGTAAGAGCTAATTTTGCAATTACTTTTTACTTCAGCATCACCAATCTAAATGATAGGCTTATATTCAGGTCCGGTATCACTTTATTTTAAGTTAACATAATAGTTAAATGCAACTACATGTAATAAAAGTAAATTATGCATAATTAAAAGTAACTAACCCCTAACCAAACCCTAACATGACACCTTAAAATAAAGTGTAACCTCAGTCCTTTTAATTTATAAGTGGTAGTTTAGATTAATATGTAAATGCAAATATTTAGCCCACAATTCTGTCAAATTCACTTAAAGATAAAATTGCTTCATGAAAACAGTTGTTATAGCGGCTGTTTATAAACTGTGTCAGTGGATACAGCATCATAGGAGTTGTCAGATCCAAGGCCATATGAAAGGTTTCTGATGTGGAAAGGAAGTGTTATTGATCACTCTGAGACATAACTCTAATAGATGGACAACATGACTGAAAAAAACAATGAAACTGAAATGATCTAATTGTCCATGTCCAAGGAGAAGTCCTGAAAATTGTCCTGAAACCTGATTTTTAAACATATATGATAAGATCACCTGACTGTAAAGAGTGACATGTTTTAATATGGATATATGAAAGAGAGGATTGAACCTTGTGTGACAATTTGCTGTATTAACCAAGTTTCAGTCTACCAGCACCTGGTTGCTGTTGGGAAAGGTTTCATCAAAAGCAATCAGCTCATCTTTTACTGCAAAATAACACTGTAAACACTGTTATAATACATTTATTTCCCAGTTGCATCATCTTTTGTGACATGTGCGAGTGACTGTAACTGACTAAGATGTTTGTTTTTAATAGTTAAGCATTTGAAATGAAGGTGGATAAGTGGACAGCCCAACTCCACTGAAGACTGCAGAAAACAGCGATACAATTGGCACATTTCTTACTAGGAACCCAGTGAACTTCTCAGCAATGCTGACTCAATGAATGGTCTGAGTCATGAAGCATCCACCCAGCCAGACATGTCTGGTTTTTGGCAGTTTAACACCATAAGCCAAACTGGGAAAATCACCAGAGCACCTGACTACAGTACGTCAAAATATGAGTCAAAAAACAAAAAAGTCGAACCATTTTACACACCATCACATCGGTTAAAGTAAAACACAATGGAAGTATCCATAAATGTTAAAATACTCATTGTTTCAATAGTAGAGCCACAAAAAGTAAATGATATACATGTTTACATGACTTTAGTGCTAAGAAATGTATAATATCTGTGTAAAGTTATATCCAATTTTACAACATTATCGCCATGACAAAGTAGTCATAAATTCAACGAGAACTTTACAGCTCAAATAATACACAAATTTGAAAATAATTAATGTGCTTTTATAAAATTATAGACCTTATTCAGAGCAGCGCCATGACAGGTATGAAAGTGAGTCTGTGAGGGATAGACTTAGCGTGTTTCCAATGGCTTCCGCTGTAAAAAGCTGAATAAAGCGGCTAGATTACTTACAATTTTCCACAGCTTACATTATCGGGAGTTTTTTGTCAACTGACATTTCTTGGAAAGATATTTTTCCAGTGTTTCATGAGCAGAACAATCCGAAAACACATTAAATAACAGTACAGCCCATTGAAGAGATGCAAGTCTATCCCTCACAACCTCGCTTTCATTCTCATTAAAAATCAAAGATGGCGCTGCCGTGAATAAGGCGTATGAGCTTTACATGTCCTCCAAAAAAATGCCCCCATTCACTTTCTTTGTTAGTGCCGTAACCTTGTTTTCTTTTTCTTTTTTTACAGAAAATGAGTAAAAGTTAAATTATTTTCTCTGGCAATAGGCATTATTCCACAAATGCTGTTGACTGATGATCTTAACCTGTGAACCTGCATTATTCCTTGAATCTGGCATATATATATATATATATATATATATATATATATATATATATATATATTACCACAAATTAAAGTGCTGGAGAATAAACAAGCAGACCAACAAATGTTCTTCACTATCTCAGAAGTGCAAACATGTTTGTCATTATTTAACTCGCTATCACTAATATTGTCTTCTAGACGATGATGCCAAAGAAAATGTGTCAGAGGCAAAGCGACAGATTTTCCAGTTAAACTGGTTTAGGGTAAGTGTGTAAAAAAAACCATATAACCCAAAACCCCAAAACAATTCCTTCATTTAAGCATAAACAATCAAAAGGGGAAAAAAAAAAAAAAAAAAACCCAGAAAAATAGGGCCATTAGTCCAGTAGTATGTTATGGTCACACTTAATGAGTTGACAGTGTCGAATCGACCTGACTCTAAATTTTTGATGTTCATAATAGTATCTTAATTTCATTCATTCCCATCACGGTGTACAACACTATTGTGCATTACAAGTGCATTAACACTCCTTCAAATACAGAATGAGCTTGTGAGAACAAATAAATAAGGATAATAAATAATTCATGTAGGATTTGCACGCCAACAGAGAACTGTGACATGACCGCAGGTTTGTTTGTCTTTGAGGTGTAAAGGATATGTTTTTTTTGTTTTTCTCATGAAAATTTCACGTTTCTATCCCAAGCCAAAGATCCCCTGATTCATTATTCAATACTGGACAGGTGATATGTCTTACGTGTGGTTTAGGTAAACCAAAATTGTTCTTTACAATCTTTTACAAAAGGAATTTTCAAGTTTATTACTCAGACTTTAGTTAGCAATACTTTACAATACATAAATTAACTCATTAAAATGACTCAATAACAACTCAATAAGTGTTCAGTGCAATAACTTGCTGTTCATATGCTTCCTATAAAGCTGCATGTTATTTTCACACTTCTAAAAATAACATGCAAGATTCAAAATGCATAATTTAATTTCAGAAAAACATAATTTTCTTCTCGACATTGTCATTACAAATAATTCTTTGGTCTGGATGGTGGTGTGGAGCATATTGCATTGCCTTCTTCTAAATTTTGAAACGTGTCCATATTTTTGTCTAGGCAACAAATCTGTCAACAGAGTGTATTACAACAAGTTCGCTAGAGAGAGTTGATATGGGAAATTACCATCTAAATATAAGCTTTGGCTAATGTTGGTTCCGTCGCAGCTCTGGAGCTGTGTAAGTGAAGTCTTTAAAATTTTCCTGGTGGAAAGGGAAAAGGCTGTCCTCTATGGGTGTAAGACAGGGTTCCTCTTGGGTGAAGTCAGGGTCGAAATTTGCCACATCCTCAATAGACTCCTACAAACCAAAACCAAAACATTATTTTTCACCATTTATTCCAACGTTTCAAATGAATTGGATATTGGTTCTTTAATGTCACATCTGCTGATAATTAGCATCATTTGATGCATCTATAAAAAATATCACTCAATAGAATTTCACTGCTAAAGTAACTCAAGTAATTTTACTTAAATTACTTAAACGTTTACTTTAAGTATGTATACATATATATATATATATATATATATATATATAATTAAATATATTAATATAAGTATTGTAAAATGAATTCTATCAACCCTTTTTGTAAATATAATGGAATAAAGAATGGAGAGGTGGATCCAAATTAGCGATCAAAGACTTGGTTAACATGAACTAACTATGATCAATATATTTTTATCGTATTTATTAACCTTTGTTAATGTTACTATATAAAATGTACATGTTCATGTTATTTTGCAGTATACTGATGTTAACTGATAAAACTTTTGAATGTATTAGTAAATGTTGAGATTAACATGAACAAAGATCAATACATGCTGTGGACGTATTGCTCATTGTAGCTCATGGTAAATAATGTCTAATGAAATAAATGAAATAAATTTAAATAAATCAGTAATCAAAAATTGGTTGTGATTATTCAATATAAAGAGAGTCCATAACTGAATCAATATTGGTCAATGTCTGCATACAACACACAGAAGAGAATTAAACAGTAGAAGTGCAGAGGTATAGGCTTACTATTCGAGGTGTGAACGGTGGTGTGATCTCTTGTCTGTTCAGCTTCTCCCAGTCCAGTCCTGTGAAAAACGGGTGTGCAGTGATGGCCTCTTCCCCTTCATCTCTATCCATGCAGCCTAACCGACACGCTGGGTCTCTGGTGAGTAACTGGGTAGATAGCAAACACAAATCTTCATTATTAAGCTTTTGACCACAAAAGTGCACTTGCTCAATCTTTCAAATATATGCCACACTGTAAAAAAAGAAGAAGGAAAAAAGGGATAACAAATGTTACCTTAAAGGGATACTCCACTTTTTTTGGAAATAGGCTCATTTTACAACTCCCCCAGAGTTAAACAGTTGAGTTTTACCGTTTTCGAATCCATTCAGCCGATTTTCTGATATTTAGAAGAATATCAGTAACCAGACAGTTTCTGGTCTCATTGACTTCCATAGTAGGAAAAAAATATATATACTATGGAAGTCAATGAGACCAGAAACTGTTTGGTTAATGATATTCTTCTAAATATCAGAAAACTGGCTGAATACATTCAAAAACGGTAAAACTCAACTGTTTAACTCTGAGGGAGTGGTAAAATGAGCCTATTTCCCAAAAAAGTGGAGTATCCCTTTAAAGTGGGACTTCTATTCCTGATTTCACAGATAATGTTTTTTTGCTATAAATAAATCTACTGTATATATGTTGGTTCAGTTATGTTAAAAAGCACTGTAAACTTGAATAAAACCAGTTAATTTAGATGTTCCCATTTTTAGATTACCAGCACTTGGTTTGACATTTTGTTATCTAATGCAAGAACATCGTTTCAAGTACAAATACTAAAGACTCACTGGAAAAATATAACTTTGTCTTTTTACACTGGCCAAATGGTCTCTGTCATTCTGGTCTCCAAAGTTTACTGTCCACAACCCTGCATAGATCAGATCACTGACTTAAGCCCTTGGAAAGGAGATATTATATTACTCCACTAATACGAGAAGGCCTCTACTTAGTCACATGATGTTAATCCTTCTACAATGACACAGCTCTTAAACCCTTCTTAGGGCACAAAGGGCAGGGATAGCCTGTGATAGTGACATCTTGGGTCAAACAGCAGCAATGGGGTCTGCTCACAGGCTATGCTCTTTGCTCTGCTCCGTATTAGCCTCATCATGTTTTACTGGTGCTTAAAGAAACTAAAGGCCAAGACCCTCAGAACAGCCAAGAAACATGTTCACTCTGAGCTCTTTAAATGAAGCCAGATTTGAGGTTATTCTGGTGAGAAGAAGAATCAGAGCTTGTTGAAGATTAGAACAGAATCAGGTTTCAGCATGAAGGCCTCGAGTAGAGAATCATTTTTATGAAATGTTTTCACAATTGAAGAGGAAGAGAGCGGTTTAATCATAAGACGTCACTGCCAGGAAAGTCACAGATTTCACAACATAGCTGCCTTAGATGCCAGTCAAGATTAAAAGTAAAAGTACTGTAGTAAAAGTAGAGAAACTTGTGTAAACGTAAAGAAACTGGTGTGGTAAAAGTACAATTATCTGACTTTTACTACACCAGTTTCTTTACTTTTACTCTTACTTGTAGTACAAAACAATGGATTTGATTCAAGTGGCATCTTTGAGTATGCTTACATTAAAGCTTTAATTGAGACTTTAATTCTTTGTGTGATTGACCTACAGTCTAGATAATCAAATATGTGCATGCATCTCACCTCTGTTTGGAGCATGTGCTTAGGCCAATTGTATTCCAATTAACGTGTAAACATACTGGACGAAATAACTGAAATTCCTGATTTAAATGCAAATCAATATTAACCGCCAATGTACGTAACCGTGTTTACAAGAATGTACATAAAAAAAGGTTATTGTCTACCTGGTGCTGGTGAGTCAAAACATAAGCATTCATGTATTACACTGTTTATTATGCGAGTTGTGACGTTAAATAAGGCATAAAAAACCCCAGTATTTCAAAATGTCATTGGGAAAGACACATTCTCCTCTAGTATTTGAAGTTTCTGCCACTGTACCACTTGTCCTTTGGCTGCATGAGATAAGAACAATTTTTTTTTATACTTGGGTCAAGAAAAAGCAAGAGTTTACGTCCCTATTGTGAAACTTAATCTGCCATGAAGGGATGTATTTCTCTCACATATCACTCATGCACACTTCAATAAGCCGACAGAACGCAGATTAAGGAGTTTACATGCCGGCAGAAATCGGGGTAAAGGGCAAAAATCTATCTGTCGATCAGTTTATTCTTAAGCTGTTTATGACCTTACGGCGTTAAAGGTGCAATGTGTAAAATGTTAAGAATCTATTAACAGAAATGCAATATGACATCCATAACTATGTTTTCAGTTGTGTGTAAAGAACTTACTTAATAAACCGTAGTGTTTTTATTACCTTAGAATGAGACATTTATATCTACAATATATCAATTTATATCAAAAGGGGCACCCCCTATTATATAGGTCGACATATTGTGACGCCATGTTTCGACAGTAGCTGAAGGCGAACAAACAGCGCTACAGAGTGCGTTTCGTCACTACCTTGAAAGAGAAGCCACAGAAAGCTACATGCTAGCCATAAACACCATGTGAGTGGTGACTTTTCCCTTGTGAGTTGTGTAAAATATGACTGTTTCATTACAACTTAATTTTTCCCCCTCGCTGTGTTATGGCTTTGCTATGTGGAAATAAATGTGCTGGTTACGTTCGTGAGACAGCTGATTAGTACTCTTGTCTTTGACCGTAAAACAGTGTGTTACAGGAATCACCAACCAGTCGATCGCGGGCGACAAGACGATCTTAGAAGAGTTTTCAAAATCAGATAAAAGCCTATTGTGTGTAGTAAATGGTGTCAAGGGGACGCAGAGGCGCGCATTATTACAATCACGTCATTTTTACCACGCGCACTTTTGGGCTCATGCGGACACGTCGAGTTTAAACAAGGCTTTGCGCTTTAACGGACTCAGCCACAGTAAAAGCTCATATTAGCCAGCTAAACTTTTACATCCCTGTTATAAAAAATATATAGCTGCATAGTTTCATGTGGTTCTTCTCCCTCACTGTATTATGAGTTTGCAATCTGGGGAGAAATGTGCTGGTTACGTTTGTGAGACAATCAGCTGATTACTATTATTATATTATATATTAAGACCCTTGACGATGGCTTTGTAAACTTTATTCATGATGTGGTTTATAATGGATTGTGGTACAGAAACAGTGACAATGTTACACACTCTTGGCTTACTCTAGCTATTCTCTGATATGATATTTTTGTCCCGTTTTAGCCACCGTAGCTTCTTCAAAAAGGAGGAGTGAACCAGTGATGCGCGGGTTGATCCGAAATGAGCGGTTACCCGCAGTTACGGGTCATCCAAAAATGTTTTTAATGATATTCGGGTCGCGGTCGGTCGGGTCGTTTGAAAAAAAGATGCCAATTAAACATTTGTATTAGTACTAGACACAATTTTTGATGAAATACACAGCCCTACACATTATTGGCTGAATAACTGGCACGAAGATAACACAAGCTCAGTCTAAACAGTTCTCGGTTCTATTCGAGAACCGCTGTCCCTGTGCGTTCGGTAGTACGCAGTATCTATGCGCAGTATCAGCTGCTCGTGCTCATCACTTCTCTCAACAGTGGCACCAACATGTCTCGGTTCAGTGAACTGTTGGAGTTACTGGAGTAAAATAGAATTCAGGATATTGATTTATTTCGATTCGGAGGCGACTGTCAGGCATGTCTGAAAGTAAGTAACTAACTTGTGGATCAGCACTGACGCAAGACGCGAACTTTTTCGAACGATTCAGCTCGATTTAGTGTAGGTTCGACCGGTTCACTAAAAAGAACCGGTTCAAAAGAACGATTCGTTCACGAACCGGCCATGTCTGTGATCACTACAGTCTGCAGAGAGATGGAGGCGGCAAGAGAAAAGGTGAAGACTGGGGAGTGGAAGCTCGCAAATACACAAATAGAAAGAGTAAAAGTGTGGGAGACATTTGCTGAAATAATGAAATATGATGACCAAAGTACTGGCTTTGCCTTTGTTATGTGTAGGCAAGGCCTACGTCTTCTTGCGATGCTGTGTTGTTACACGTCTATGGCCCAATAATGCTCCGATGAGCATTTACTACTTTTAAAAAATGCGGTCAGGAAGCGGGTCGGGTACAATATTTTTTTACTTTTTTTTGCGGTCCGAGTTGCGGGCGGGTAGTTGAAAATGTCGGTCGGTTGCGGTTTGTTTATACATTGACCCGCGCATCACTGGAGTGAACAGTGGGCTGAGCCCTTAGTGCAACTCGCAACCGAACCTCTTGATGTCGCTAAAAATCACACACTGCACCTTTAAAGGAAAAAGGTTTAACGAGTTTACATGACCACACACGTTGCAGACTTATTAAGCGTTATCAGATTAAGAATGTGCATCTAAATGTTATCAATCTTTTTTTTTTTGACTGCAGATCTGGACTCACTCCTTTAAGGATGTCCTCGGCCTCGTTGCTGAGCCACGATGAATAAATGATCTCTTCTTTGAGGATGCACTCAAACAGCTCGTCCTCAGTCTCCGCTTCAAATGGAGCATGTCCCGAAAGCATCTCATAAAGCAGCACGCCCAGAGCCCACCAGTCCACTGATACGCCATACATCTCCTCCAGGATGATCTGAGAGAGACACACAGCATTAAAAACATCTACATGGGAAGAGAACACACATACAAATCAACCATTATCTTATATATCCTCTTTTAGAGATGCTCACCTCAGGTGCAATATAATCTGGAGTCCCACAGAAGGTGCTAGTAAGTTTTCCATTAAAGATATCCTCTTTGCACATGCCAAAATCTGCCAGTTTGCAGTGGCCATGTCTGTCCAGGAGAATATTGTCCAGTTTTAGGTCCCTTTAAAACAGAATGACAAAACTCAAATTATTACTAAATAGTAAAATTGCACTGGGTGTAACCATCAAGTAAGTGACAACAAGGTAAAAGTTATTATTATTATTATTAAATATCAATAATTAATCATTTACTTTTTTTGTTACTTTTGGTTAATTACAGATGTTTTCTGCACTTCACTTATTTTGAGACAAAATTTGAGCAATTCTGCTGAAAGGATTTAAATGTTAAAAAGAAGCAAAAAGTAATACGCTCTTATGGAAAGCTAAAAGCATTATTGAATGCTTTACATAGCCAACATATTTTATTAAACAGCTGAAGGATTTGTATAATTTTATGAATGAAAGACACATTACAACTGTAATTTATGCGTACCTACACTTAAGTCATAAATAACAAGCAGAAAGGCAGCCTGTGGTAGCACGAACAATGCAAACTAAATATCGCAAACATTCAATAGTGAATAACAAATGAGATTCACAGAGTTCAAATGCGTTCAAAACGCACTGACAAATGAGTGTGTACTGCAATGCTTGCATGCTTGACACAAGTGTGTAGAGTAATCAGCTTGAGGAGCATCATTCATTCTGTCATCAGAGAAGGAAAGGCCATACTGATCCAGTGGAAAAGAGAATGACGGAATCTGAATTGCATTAACAGGTTTCCAAGAAAATGTGATCTAATTTCATTAGAAAACAATTAACAGAGAACCAGAGAACACATTCAGAGGTGACCTCTTACATGTTGTTAAAAGTGCATGACTGTGCCGCATTACTCAGTAAACAACAAAGAATCGATTGTTTTACAACAACGTGTTGTTCTGTCACGATTAGCCACGCGCTTCCTGGGTTAACTTGCAATTCATGTCCCATCATGCACCTCCCTGAACTGATTACACCTTACACCTACACTGCACTGATTACACACACCTGTATCTCATTCACACGCACACATAGAAACCACTTCCACGCACCCAAAGAGTATAGAAGAACAAGACGCGAAACTCTGATGCTTTTTTGGTAACAGCCACTAGGTGGCGCTTCGGTTACGCGGCCGCCATTTTGGAGTGAAAATTCCAACTGGAGTTACTGGACAACAGCACAGATAACAGTTTTTTTCTTGCATTAGTGAGTATTTACATTGTATGTAACTTTACACATTTTTTAGATACCAACTCCACTAGGACTGAAATATATTTTGTACGTTTTAATCCCTGGATCATCCTACAAACATGATGATCCTTGATGCGCTGTGTCCATTTCCTATAACTTTAATTGCCACTTTGGACAGTGGCTGTGTTTTTTTTGTTTACATAGTCTTGCTTTAACCATCATTAATATAAGATAGTAATAGCAGTTTACTGTAAAGCTATTCTATTGCTGTTATATATTTAAGCCTATTGTCCAACATTTTACATTTTAGTACAACATTTATTTGCTGAATTTATTTATTTCATTGATAACTTATTTTTGTATGTAACGTTATGTGTACCTCCTGGGAAACAGTCCAATGTTATTATAACTTTATGAACTGATATCACTTTATTCTTACCTATCACACTAATGTGGAGAGTAATATAATAGATAAAAACCTTGAACTTCCCTGTCTCAAGTTATGTGGGGGGAAACCTTGGTTAAGTAGCAACTTTTATAACTATTTATACAACTTATATAACTATACTTTGCTATAACGTTAACTGTTGTGAGTTAAAATAATCACCTAATTATTTCAAACTAAAAATGACCTCTGTACTGGACTAAATATATGTATAATAGGACTGCCGAGTCGCTTTCACCCCAAAATGGCGGATGCGTAGGGCGCTGGTGTTGCAATGGAACATTCCATTAGCTTTCACTTCTTGTCAATATACGTTCTTTGACGCACCACACCAGTGTGAAGTCTTGACTTTCCTGGATATCATTTCGGAGCGGTATTTTCCCGATTTTGTTTCCTGTGTTTGACCTTTGTATTGTTTATTATTGCTGACCCTTTTCTGCCAGCCCTGACCCTGGGCTGTTTACTGGACTCTGATTCTCTCTGCCTGCTTTGATCTTTTTCCTGTCTACCAGGTTTGTCTCTGCCTTGCCTTCTCTGTTCGGTTTGACCCTGCCTATCTTGACCATTCTAATTAATGCTGCGAATGGATCCCTTTGGTTCTGCTAATTCATTACACGTTCCATCTCCCATTACTTCATTCAGTCAGGGTAACACTCATGAAACAGGAGCATTTCTGTGTGAATCATTCTCTTGAACGATTGAGTATAGAAAATGTAAAAATGCAGAAAGTTTACTGTGATGGGAGGTTTAGGGGCAGGGTTAGTTAAGGGGTTAAAACATTTAGTTTGTACAGTATAAAAATCATTATGTCTATGGAAAATGCCCATAAAACATTAAAACACTGTGTGTGTTTCTGAAACCTTGTGTCTACATGTTTCTTTCCAAATGTATACAATGTTATTCTCAAGTGTTATGAATCAGGTATTACACACACATGGAAAAGAGAAAGACAAAGATTTCTTAACTTCGTTTACTTCATGCCAAGTGAACAAACACAGAGACATGCAGAGACTCACGCTCACAGTTTTAGAGGGCTGGCACTGGCAAAAATACTGTAACAGCATGGCAAACTCACCAGCCTGGCCATCAGCCACAGACCGAATCTGCAGCTGGAGAACAGGCAGAACTATTGCAGAGCCAGCAAAATGGGCAAATCTCTCATCTGCTTAACCATCATTGACGTAACCGAATGCTTTCCTCTCTATGTAAAACAACCCAAGACTCTTGCAATCTGATAAAAAAAAGTTTATCATTTTTTTTAAAAAGAATAAAACAACAAAGGAAAGTGTGTCATTTCTGATGCCCTTTTGGAAACCAGATATAATTTAGCAACAGTGGAACAATTTGAGAGCTCAATAAACACTTTATCCAAGCCTTCGGGTATAACAGGCTGAAGTAAGACTAAAACACTTAAGTTAGTAATGAACTCTTCATTTACTTCATGCACTGTCTATTCTTTTTGAATAAGTCTAGTCCTCGGATTAGAGCAGAGCCAGATTACACAGCATTACAGCAACATCTAATATAAGATCAGGGTTAAGCAAGGTGAAGTGGAGAGGAACAGCTTGATGACACAGAGGTTAACGAAACATTGTATTGGAGGGGTTTTATAAAAGGTGTGTTACAGGCGGCCCTTCAAAACCAATGCTGAAATATTGTGATGGGATTTTTAATATTTTTTCAGAATAATGCATGTTATGCTATATTGCACTTTGTAACAGAAAAAGATTCATGTGATAAAACCTGAGCAGTGCACATGCCTCGATCTCACTCCCCCTCCCTTGCTCTCTCTGTCTTTCTGAGTAAACAGCTTATGTAATAATAGCTCCATTACATGCCAGGCAGGCCTGTGACATCAGCTCAAGTCCACACTCAAAATGTCCCACTAGTCCTCTTACAATACAACACTGCCATCTTTCCCAGGACTCTACCCTTCTCCCCATGAGCTTCACTTCACAGAAACAATATAATTACCCTAAAATAATTTGCTTTAAAGCCCAATAAAATCAAAAGGAAAGGTGAGAGTGGCTATAAAGAGGCCCATATGATTGTAAAGACGACAGAGGGTCAGAAAAGTTCACTGGAATTTCAGGAAATACCCCACAGGGTAGCTTGTAAATGCTGCAAGCCTCATTTGAATGGGAAAGCAGTTTACCAGATCTATTTATATTTGGGCTTGGCTTGGCTCTATTACAAGGGTGATCGGAAAGCTTATTCAGGTAGACAAAGGTCATGTGATTATAGCCAGGAAGAGCATAATGTTCCGACAAGGAATAGGAAGTCTAAGTCTAGGGCGGAGACTGTTTGTAAAACTGACGAAATGTGTCAGGACATGCGTAGACTGATCACACCATGATAAAGCAAACAACTGAAAGGCAGTTGCACTGGGGAGTGAAAATATACAGTAATTTCACATGAACATAATGAATTTAAAATATTCTTTCCTTCCAATGAAGGAATCACATGTTTTGTACTTTAAAATCGTGAGGAAAGATAAGCTAACTTGGACAGCTAGTTCAAAAATAATGTAGCAAAGAAGGGATAACATAATGAGAGAAACTGTGTGACATTAACATGATCCATAGTATTCCTCACCTGTAAATGATGCCTTTGGAGTGAAGGAACTTCAGGGCCAAAATGATCTCCGCAGCATAAAACTGTGCTCGTGGCTCATCAAAACGCCTGGACTTCTGGATGTGGAACATGAGGTCACCACCATTCACAAACTCCATGACAAAGAATAACCGATCCTGGGAAATGAAGAACACAGGTTAGCAAATACAGAGCAAAATAATGTGGAAAAACATGTTATAGAGTATAAAAGAGTCAAATACAAATGAGTATATTCAATATATTAATTCTATTACCTCTCCAGCATTAATAAACATGAAAAACTGAAATATGTACAATATTTGAACTTGCTTTCTATAACACATTGATGCTATTAATGTAAAAATGACTATAAGTAACAATTTATATATTATATTTTACACATCTATTGCAATTATAAAACATTTATTTAATAGGCTATACACAACTGTTCAAAAGTTTATAAATGTCTTTACTGTCACTTTTTATTAATTTATCAATGGTATGATAAAATCCTACACAGTAAAAGAAGGATAAAATGTGCAAGTCAACAAAAAACTTGCACCACTTCCTGTTACGGTTTTCGGTATGGAGAGCAGGAAGTGAATACCATTACTAACCAAGACGCTCCATCTACTGTTTACATTGGGTATTGCAACTGTCCTCGCTCATTTAGCATATTTCTAAATATGGGCTTTTGGGTGGCTTTTATTTAAAATCATGCTCTCAGAAAGAGCAGTAATCATATGGACTGTATATCAAGATTTAGAAGCATTTGATAGCGTTTAATGGACCAACTGCTATTAAGCTGTCAGATTTTTAACCTCAGGAAATATTCTCATGAAGTTTCAGGAGACTGAAGTATGTTTCAGGAGATTGAAGATAAAACAAAAGTATTTCAGGAACATAAACAATTATTTTGATATGATGCCAAAAACCCTTTCCTGGTGTTTCCTGATTGAGAGAGGCCTGAGGGAAATGGAGTGTCTACATTCAACAACACTTGTCAATGTGTGGACCGTGATCATGATGACATAAGTTAACCTCTACTGCAAAGTCTAGCGTGATTTCTTCTAGGCTCATATTACAGATTATTTACCTGATAACATTTCAACAAATCATACACTGAACAGAATTCACCCCTGAGGCGATTACAGCATTTACTCTGGTTTCCCGAAAGCATTTCTAGATTCTTCTATTGTCTTATGAATGAATTTTTATAACAAAGAATCAAACATTCCTTTATCAGAGTTCAATGTACACTGTAATGATACTGGTAATTTTATGTGAGGACATTATCTGTTAAGTTCACAGACATTTCCTTTACCCTAAAACACGATGGAACGTAAATTGCATAATTCAGGGTAATTCAAGGGTAAGCCTTATGTATGGAATATGGGATTGATCAAATCTGTTACAATACATTTATTGTCATTATTTTATCTCTATGCATCATATGAGATGCTATTAGCGCCCTAAATCCATTTGAGGATTCTTACCGCAGTCTGAAAGCAGTAGTAGAGCTGTGTGAGAAATGGATGTTGGTGGGCCAGAGTCAGCACTCTCTTCTCAATCATGGTTGCCTCGACATCATCGTCTTGCAGTATGACATCCTTCTTCAGCATTTTCACAGCAAAGACCCTGTGGTCAGTTTTTAGACGAGCCAACATCACCTACAGATGCACACATACACACACGTTCTTAAGATAATTATCAAATGCAAGGGAATGTAATCTTGGTAATGAGGCACAGTTGCATGTGCAATACCTTGCCAAAGCTGCCTTTTCCCAGCACTTGCAAGAAACTAAAGTCTTCCAGACCAACTTTAACAGTGTCGTCCTCTTGCTCCTCAAATGATGTTGGCATGCTTTTAATGGAGCTCTGACCCTTTATTCCTGACATGTGCGGAGAACTCTACGGAGAAATGTACTCAATGTACATACACTTGAGGGAATATCTCACAAAGACAATAAATGTGCATAACCAAAGCAAATGTTATTGACATTTGAGATGGCTCTTATGAAGATACCTTTCGTTTGGAGAGTGTGTTGAGCACTCCGATCTCTGACAATTTCCTGGCCAGTTCTGAACTGTTCACTCCGCAGTTGGGTGCAACATTTTGTTCACAGCGTTTGTGGATGTTCATCTTGCAGACTGAACAAATCCACACCACACAGATGACAACAACAATCTTTGACTACAAAGCAGCCGTGTTCACATGTATTCCAATAAGATGAGTAAATATGTGCTTACTCTTGCAATGGAGACCCTGTTTGATCAGGCCGTACAGGAGAGATCCGCAGTGGTTACAGTATGTGGGAACTTTGTAGTTGTGTTCTCTAAACTGGTGGGGTAAGTTGACGCTGAAGCCCTGCCTTTGGCCCTGTACACAGAGTAATAGGTATGTCAAATGGATCCATTCACACACATGCACGCACACACTCACTCACTCACTCTCTTACCTCATTTAAATCTTTCTTCATTCGTGGACACTCACTTACAATCAAGTTATGACACCTCTTATGGACCACACATGCACAAACTAGAGTAGTATAAAGGCAAAAAGTGAAGGTTACTATCTCTTGTGTATGCAAATGGAAAAATTATGATTCCACTGATTTGAGTAACTAGGGGTGTAACGATACCCTCATGTCACGATTCGATAGATATCACGATACTGAACTCACGATACGATATCATTGCGATACTCCAAGACATATGGTAAGGTTAACAAAAAATGTACTGTTGATTAAAATGCGAAATTTGGTAGTACTTTGTAGGTTTAAATGAATAGGCTTGGACACAATGGTGACACCAGAATAACAATATTCAAGATTCTGAAGCTGAAATTACTGAGTTATTGTAGATGAATATGCTTGCACTCTTTCACTGACTAGATATATTTCAAATAATGTCGGACACTTTTTACTGGTAACATCAGACATTTGGCATTATGAGGACCCACAAATATTCCCCCATTGCATTATTATACATTATAATCAATATTATACAGTAGTTCAATGTAGTTCTGACACTTCATCTCTGAAAACTTTAATTTTTTCTCATACAGTAATTGTTGTTATCCACAATACATATCGTCACTATGTATTTGCACTTTTGTATTGCGATATATTGTGGCACAATGTATCGTTACACCCCTAAAAGTAATCATACACACCTTGACATTGATAACCTTGCTTTCCAATAACACCCCTGGGAAAAGATTATATTTTTATAACTACATGGCATACCATACATTAATTATATGTGAATGAAGGTGTGTTTTCTATGTACTGTAAGTCTCACCAAATGAAGTTTTTGCAATGGCAGCAAAAAGTAGGCTGGGGAAGGAAGGTTGCCATAAACTTATGACCGTAGACTTGGTGGACCTTTCTTTTCTTTAAAGCTTTTTGCCCCTCTCTTGTAAGTTTTTTATGGGGTCTCAATCCATTCACAGCTTCATCTGAAATTGATGGCAACACTCGGTCAGCACAATTAAAATGCCAACAAAATTCATTGTAAAGTTAAAACTACACTGTAAAAAAATATTGTTGGTTTAACTTGAAAAATTAAGGAACCTGGTTGCCTTAAAATTTTAAGTTCATTGAAATGGAAAAATTGAGTTACAATGAAGGAGATTGATTTAATCACCAGAAACTCAAACTCAGTTGATTTGACAAAAGAAAAATTGTTGTGATTACAAATCATGAAAATATTTTTTTACAGTGACTGTTGTGGATAAGTACACATGAAAATACAAAGAATTATGAAAAACTGGTTATGACACTGACATTTTTTTTTAGAATAAAACTTAAAAAAGAGATTGAATACTATGTTTAAAAACAAAAATATAACAACATTTTTATTAAAAGACATAAAATGGTGAAATATTTTTTTCATCAGTCTTTCATCAGAGAAAAACAGCACACATTTATAGCTTAAATGTAAATGTTCATGGTTTGTCACAGACATACATATAAACAAACACTTTATATTATAATTACACATCAATAATTGATTTTTATATAAAAATAATAAAGATTTAGGTAACACTTTAGTTTAGGATTCAATTTTGCTTATTAGCATGCATATTAATAGGACATTGGCTGTTTATTGGTACTTATAAAGCACATATTATTGCCTTATTCTACATGACCATATTCTACATCCCTAATCCTACTCAATACATAAACTTAACAACTACCTCGCTAACTATTAATAAGCCATAATTAGGTGTTTATTGAGAGAAAAGTTGAGGCAATTCAAGAGAATTGGACCCTACACTAAAGTGTGTAACCAAGATTTATATTTAAAACATTACACATATTTATAGTTAATGAAAACAGCTAACCATCTGTAAAGGAGCCAGTGAGAGAGATGGATACATACACTCTTCCCTCTGGTTCCAGATTCACCTGAAAGAAGAGATAACCCGTGAGATACAATAAATCAAATTTTAAAAGCACACTAAAAACTACTGTAAGTGCTGACACTATGATAAAATATCACTTTTATATCAAATATAATACCCTAGAGCTTCATAACATTTGCGTTCAATGTTTAGCAGTTGCAAAAACAAACTAAACTCTCTCTCTCTCTCTCTCTCTCCACACTGAACTGCTATCACAATCTCAGTCATTCGATCTTTCCATCTAAGTCATTCTCTCGCTTCCTATCATTTAGCTTGCCCTGCGAAGTGGGAGGAATTCCTGTAATGCGAGGCAAGACGAGGAAAGCAGGACTAGCTGGTTCAGGGAGTTAAATCCATGGCACGCACCATAAAGCACAACAAGTGTTTAGGAATAGGAAGGTTTAAACATTGACCCATGACACTTTAAAAGTATTTAAAAAGTATAAAATGTAAAGAGACAAACTCAGCAACGCACATCTTTTCCATATTACATACACATTATCTAAGTTGCCAGGAAGCTGCATAAAAGCAAAGATTAACAAACACTAAGCTGTGAAGTGTGAAGTGTGAAGCCAAAGCAGAGGTTGAACCAACCACCAACTCAGTTATGTTTGGCCGCTGGCTTTAAAAAAATAAATAAATAAAAAACACCCAGCCGAATAAAATCAAATCATTACAAAATGTCAACTTGAGTTCTGATGAATGCTATTGCAAGTGCACGTGGGAAGCTTGACTTAGAACATATGTGAGGTTTATATGGGTCAAAGAGAGGAATCTGGCTAGTTTGGTTGAGCAGCATGTCTGCACTGGTGGTATGCGAGTTTGCAAGCGCATCCCCCGCAAACACTATGTGAAAACCACATTTGCAAAATAACCTGCACATTTTCTGCAACCTAAACTCTTCAAAATAAAAGTTCCATAAGTTTTTTTTTCCCTCAAAAAGAACCTTTCAGTGAACTGAGGAATTATTGTTTCTTAGTGAGAAGAACATTTAAATATTTTTTCCACTAAAGAACCTTTTGAGGAACGTAAAGGTTCCATGGATGTTACAGGTTCTTCATGGAACCATCAATCCCGATAAAAAACCTTTGTTTTTAAGAGTTTATATTGTCAAAATGGTTATTTTAAAATGATCCGTAAAAGTTAGGACATGAAGATGATTTTACAGTAGGTTACAATTTTTTGATGGTCCACTTTAGATATTATATGTAACTTTGCAACTAGATTTAAATTAACATTTGAGTATTAGCATACTGCTAGAGTTAGGTTTTACAGTTCAGTAAAGTAGAATAAGTTGACATGTAGTTGCAGAGTTACGTAGTAGAATGTCTAAAGTGGACCATTAAAATAAATATACCGTCCAAATGAAGCCTAAAGCAAATACTGTACATAGGCCTACTGAAAATAATGATTTCATGTTCTATGCCAAATTTGTAACCTTGAAAAAATTACATTAAACACCCACAAAAAAACCCCATCATAATCAGATTTCACAACGAGAAAAACAACTGCAAGGGCTCATTTGACCACATTTTATCATTTGGACTAAAGGAAAGGCAGACACGAGTATGTCAAACCACACATCACCCAATAGACGTAAGAGAAGGTGACGCTCTGAGAGTTTCCGTGATGCATGGTGGGGTGCAACCATGGGTGCAACATGTGCAACACGACCTAGTTAATGCACAGACCCTCTGAAAAGAACACTGAAAGCCCTGCAGTCAGGAAAGACTAATATAAAACTACAGAGAAAATGGAGCTTTGTGTTCCACATCTCTCTTACTTTGCATTATTAATTAATTATATCAAAGTATTAATATCAAAAGTAAAAAAAAAATTTAAAAAATCATCAAACTCTGAAAATAATATGAGATAGTTCACCAAAAAATGAAAATCCTTTCATCATTTACTCACTCAAGTTTTTTCCAACCCGTATGAATTTCTTTCTTCTAAGAATGTGGATAACCAAACATTGACTTACATAGCCTAGTATTTTTTCCAACTATGGAAGTCAATGGGGCCCATCAACTTTTTGGTTACAACATTCTACAAACTTGTTTTGAAACAACTTGAGGATGAGACGAGTAAATGATGACATGATTTTCACTTTTGAACTATCTCTTTCAGTATCAAGGTTCACAACGATGGATAAAATCGCATGCTATAGGAAGTAAGTAACCATAGCAACACCTGCTCAAACGATGTTTCATCATTTACATCGATGAAAAGTGATTTTTCATGTTACAATTGTATCATAATCAATCAATATGTCTATCAATTTAAAAAAAAAAATATATATATATATCTTCAAACAGTAAATTAGGGTGATGATCATGTCAACCTGTCTGCCCTACATTAGCATAATAATAGTGTACTCCTATTCTTCCTCTCTCTTGTATGTATGTGTTTTTTTATACCAAGTTACCACACCTATACTTGTTGTTATATAGCCTATAGTTAAGGAACGATTCTGTTATTATACACAGTGAAAACTCACCCATCCTTCAAAAGTTTGTCTTGTGTTTGATGGCACTATCAGTTCGTCAAGCTGGATTCTGTAATTTGCGACAAAATCGTCGTATCCTATAGAGGTGTTACTGAAAACAGCCAGTTCCAGCTCTTTGCCATTCGAGATGTATGGGCAGAATTCATCATCGAAAGTCGGCTTGTTGGTTTTCGACTTTGTGGCGGTTTGTCCAACTTTAAGATTATCTACTTTAACAACTATGTAAGGATCCAGTTGAGTTTTCTTATGAAAGGTGTGGCGAGTTGAAAAAGTTGTTGGTTTTAAATCCACTGCCTCCCCGATACGCAGCCTCAAATATCCGTTGAATTTCATAGTCGTAGCTCCAATAGGTTTTTAATATTCGATCCAATCAACAGAAAAGGCAACACATAGAAAGAATTCACCTTTCAAATAACAAAATAATACGTTATGAAGAAACATAGAACTGACATAGTCACAGACAAAAACCTGAAACAGCGAAACCACAGATGAGTTGTCACAGATGAATGCTGATCTCTCGTCCTTCATAAAATTGTCAATTCTCTCTCTCTCTCTCTCTCTCTCTCTCTCTCTCTCTCTCTCTCTCTCTCTCTCTCTCTCTCTCTCTCTCTCTCTTTCTCTCTCTCTCTCTGTAGTTTGAGCTATGCGAACCGTCACTAATAGATACATGAAATAGGTAGGCTACATTCCGTGTTTGTGCCGTCATCTAGCTTAACTATGCAGGCAATGCGAGCATAACAAAGACAAAGTCGATGATTAGACACACCTGACGCAGTGCTTCTCCTACCAACAGACGAGATGGAAATCTATTTAGAATGAAATCACATATTTAGGGCTAGACTTTTTTTTTTAGTCCACGACTACAGTACTATTTATATGATGCCAATGAGTAACTATCAAGCTTTAGGCCTAACTTTTAAATTAAACGTCTCTCGGTAAATAACAGGAGCATAAGCATGAACTTCATGTGTAACTGGCCAAAATCTTTTCCCAAAAAATCAGAGCAGAACAACTTTTAATAAGATGTCAGCTATAGAGGAAAGTGAAAGTGAAAGAGATATAACTTGACACAACAATGTTTAATGTGATTGTCAGCAACTGAATCTAATATCTGAATCTTAAGTCTGAAACAACACACTTTTAGAAGAAATGGTTCTATTTAGAACCAGAAATGGTTCCATCCCCCGCTTCATATATGGAACTCCAAAATGGTTCTATGACAGGCCATGACAGGGTCTTGATCTGGTGGTCCATCCAACTTTATTGGCCTGGCTGTGTGGCATGGAGCATTGTCCTGCTGGAAAACCAATCCTTCGAGTTGGGGAACATTGTCGGACCAAAAAGAAGCTATTTCTCTTCCAGCATAGGCTTTAGTCACACCCCCTTTCTCAAAGATGGATCTGCTCGATTCTACAGTAGCCTTACTTAAAAAACCCAGATCGTCACCAATCCTCCAACAAATTTCATAGTGGGTGCATGTGCAAGACACTGTTGTAGGGCTCTCCAGGTCTCTTTCTAACTAATAGAGGACCAGGTGTTGGGCAAGGTTGAAAACTGGACTAGATTCAATATAGGCTAATCTTTTTCTTCTTTTTTTTTTCAATTAACTATTTTTTAAAATTGTTTTAGTTAACAATAACAATACTGGACCACTTTGATGCCTATAGAAGGCAAAATATTTTATGTAAGCTATGCTATGAACATGATTCAAACAAACAAGAGTTATGCAGTCGTGTTATGCTCAGTTGTCCAGAAGAGGGCAGTGTTGTATAACGCTGAAATTTGGCATCAAACGTCACCTTTACCAATTTAGGTTTCTAATTTCTAAAATGCTCAGGCTTTTGGTGCCCTAGACGAAATGATGATAGCCATATTTCTGATATTTCATAAGTCAATCGTTGAAGTCTGGTGGTTGATAACTTCTGTGCGATAGTTATTACACAGTTATAGCGATACAGTTATTATGTAGGCTATTTGACATAATTGACAAGAATAAATTATAATTACTATGGCCAATCATGCAGCTAACCCATGAAATTAATTACCTTTACAGGTCCATCTCCACAGGCGGCCAGGGTAGAGGTATGGACAATCAGGAGTTTGGCATTCCTCTTCTTCAATCTGTCCCACACTGAAAGTCGAATGGACTACCTTGTAAATTTACACAAAACTACACTATGGAGATTCATAAAGCTCATTACACAAGGCCTGAATTATAGAGTACTGGGGGAAAAAATTAAAAGTGTAAAAATAAATAAATAAGAATATTACAATGAATAAGAGTCATACAACACACACAAAAATTGCTGTACTATTTTCACTCAAATTGCTAGTAAACTTTACAAATAGTTACAAAATGATTCTGCAAGTAACACTGAATCTTTGTAATCCCTAAAATTGTAGTCTCTAATTTTAGGGATTACAGTAACACAATATAGTAATGCATTACTTTTAGTAAATTTCCCCAACACTGTTAATGTGACATTAAACAAAAATACAATATTTTGTTAAACTGAAAACACAACACCTGCTTTGCCATCACAGCCCAGCAATGTGAATGTCACAAGTAGGCTACTGAGTTTCTATATTGGCAGCCGAACGAGTCAGGCCTCAAACTGTGAATAGCACCTCATTCATCATGCTCCAAAGAGCCCCAGGGAACACGTGCACCATAACCACATGCATAAAAATAGACACTGCAGATTTACACAACCTCTCTCAAACACCTTTGTATAGCCGGGCATATTGATTTGAGGAATCGACTATATGTTTCTTAAGTGGCAGATTGCTCATGCATGCTCTTTAGTCTTAATTGTGCCATATGGTATTTGAAACCAAACCCAAGCTTTTGCTGGTAGGCCTACTTATATCTATATATGAGAGGAACTATATCACCTGCAAGCTGCTACACATTTGCCCACTGTAAAAAGTTTTAACCTGCTTCTTACCTGATTCTAATTCTAATTCTTACTGGATTTTTGTAGGTGAAAATGTATGTGTATAGGTTGAATCAGTCATGTTAAATAATGTTTTTTTGTATACAACCCTCTGGTGCTCTTTTGGTTTTTAGATTTTTTTTTTTTACTTCACTGGAATGGTACAAAACTTGGTAAAGGTTTTGGCACGTGCTGTGAACACACACACACACACACAAAAAATCATGAACCCACTTTGTAAAGGTCCTTAAAAAAAGAGCCACTCTTGTACTTAAATAACTGCATTGGAAATGAATGGGAAACAAATGTGATCTGTGGAAACGTTTGTTACTGTGCCCAAACAACATCTTACTGAACGCTCTTTTTATCAACCTCAAATTTGAAACACAACTTGTATTTTATTTCTTATTATAATATGTATTTTAATATATATTTTATATATTATTTCATTGAAATAAAAAAAATGATAATGATGATGCTCCTCCTCTCCAACACTCTTGCTGCATGTAAAAAATTGTAGTATTGTTAATTCTCTATCTATTGTGTTGTAACAGGCCTGTAATTAACCTTGGATGTCATTCTTATGTGGACAATGATGTTTACTCTCACCACCATCTATTTGTTTGAGGAACATGACACGTCACACTCGACCTTTAGGTAATGATTCACAGCAGATCACATTTATAGGAAGATTCTGATACAAAGTGGTCCCATTTGAAAGTTATCGACCTCATAATAAGCTCTCCACCAGGTCACCACAATTTACCTTTGAAGGAAGAAAAACAGCATGTTAAGGATTCGATTTAGGAAATAATGCGGACACATGTAACCCTAGCTCCCCGCTGCTCTTTCAGATGATTGAGAGTGCCCAATAAAAGCTTTGTCTATTTTCTTCAGTTATTCCTTCAAGGGCAAATAAGATTGTGTGTGTACTATAGCGTATGAGTCTGTGAGAGAGAGACAGAAAGAGAAAGGTATGATTAAATTAGAAATTATTATGAGAGTTTTGCTCAATCAATATACAAATTTTGCAGACGCCAAGAAAGAGGTTTATGTCTCATGGACTTCTGCTTTTAGCACTCACACATAGACCCATATACAAACACAAGCACAGTAAGCATGAAATGGAAACCTGTATACTTTAGTAGTGAATTCTGTATCACTATCCATCTTAGTTTGTTTTCAACTTCTAAAGCAAGCGCTAAACTCTGTATAATATGACTTTAAGGCCTACAGCCCAGACAATGTAAAACTGTAGCTAAAACCCAAAATCCTCTGTAGGATTTAACTGAAGTGGAGAATCCAGAGCTGGAATGTAAACACGTGGATATGCAAGGTCATATTTTTAAAAGCCAAAGTTACGTTTCTTTACTGTTAGCTACAATTTCCACGCTTATGAAATGAAGCCGTATGCCTGTGACTGTGGAACACGTGGAAAACATTTGACCACTAAAGTATAATTCAGCCCAGCTGTATGGACACGCCACTCTGAGGATGAGGCTTCAACCACTTACTGCATGAACTGATTCTCACCAGAGGGAAGAAACTGAGAGTGAAACATAATTTTCTCAACCTGGATATCAATAAGCCTTTCCCCATTTCACAAGGTGTGCTAAAATCCTTGTCTAGCCTTGCGGTGACATGGTGTTTGGTTTAGTGCTCTTCCTTGGTTTGCTGTTGATCAAACTAGTTGCTATCAAACAATAGTAAAACCACAACGATCCAATCCATTCCTGGTGGACAAATTTAGAGTGATGCTCCACTTTTTTTGGATATAGGCTCATTTTACAAATCCCCCAGCGTTTTACCGTTTTCGAATCCATTCGGCCGATTTTCTGAAGTCAATGAATATTCTTCTAAATATCAGAAAATCGGCTGAATGGATTCGAAAATGGTAAAACCCAACTGTTTAACTCTGGGGGAGTTGTAAAATGAGCCTATTTCCAAAAAAGTGGAGTATCCCTTTAAGTCCCACCCTACATTTTTTTCTTATTCAAAAAGCCATTTCTATGATGTCAGAAGGAAGCAACACAGTAGTGGCATTCCCAAATCCTGAATGAATCACAAATCAATTGAATGATTCAAATGACTTGCTCAGTTGCCACCTAATCCAGACTGCAGTGTCTGGAACAAACATTACCAGAAAATAAGCAGAAATACTTTTTAAAACTTAATTTTATTAAATCATTTTTGTATACTGAATATTTCGTGATGATGTACACGGCATCACGCACTAACCAGCTGAACCTGAGACGCTCAGCTTTGATTAGACCCAAAATCAAATCAAACACATCCAGTCACACTGCATAGCAAACTTTAACCACAATTTACTCAAGCCCTATCAACTTCACAAAGCGGCTTATGGCCCCAGATGGAAAGGCACATTCCAGTGACAAATGCTTCACCGTCAAGGCAGGTAAGCAAGTTTCAGTGGATTTGTGGTCAGTAAATTTGGCCGAGAGGGCAAGCCTGAGGGTGAATGGCTATTTCTGGGAAGACTGAGCACTGCAGGTGGGGTGCATGTCTAAAATAATTGACGTGCTTGCTCCAAAACAAATAGGCGACTCTTCTGAGACCTAATGAGAACACATCATCTGAAAAAGATATATTTTTTT